AGCTGAGTTTTAAAATATATTATCTTTAAACACAAGACAGGATTATATACATAATTAGAGGGTGTGCCGGACATTAAAAAAAAAAAGCTTCTATAACAGAACAAGAAACTCACAATTAATCGAAACACGCAGCATATTCCTTTATTTGTGTGTTACTTTAAGTTTAACTTTAAAATCTCTACTCGCAACAGAAAACGCAAGAGAGCCGTGCGGCCGACTGCGGGTATTACGGCTTTTTCCAGACCAGCACGCGTTAACTTTTTTGGACACACGTTAGCTTCCATTGTGGCTTTCTAAAGGATTGCGATATGCCTTTCAAGGGATATGATTATATTTCCATTACAACTGAACGAGTCAGGCCCCCAATCAACGAAAAAGTAAGAAAAAAACTTCCGTCTGACTAGAAACCCAAAGCACTGATGAATATCTATCAAATTGTTAAGCCAGTTTATAAGCAAATACAACTCTTGTCTTTGGTTTAAGAATTGGAGAAAAACAATGTGCAATATTCTCACCTTAAAGTATGGAGTCCATTTGAACTGTGGCCGTCAGATGCGAGAGACTAGCGAAATTACAGATCCTACCGGTAATTAAAATCTAGAATAACAAGTCGCAAGCATTACGAGTTTTAATATATGTAAATAAAAATGACAACCATATCAAAAAGTTAGTAATTCCGGCAGGTGCATGAACCTTGTTGATATTATCTAAAAAAAACTTGACATCAGAGGGAGTCCGAACGGATTGAATTTCCAAACTGCCTAAGATCAAGGGATGTCTTTCGATCGTGTTATGAATAATATTGCGACCAGTTTCTGAATATGATAAACTAACGAATCTTTATTTCAATTCATTAACAAATTGTAAAGAACGCAAAACGTTCTGGTGTTTAAAGGTAAAATGACATTTTCAGTAACACGATAGAAATTTGATTTACATTTTGGAAAAAAGTTGAAACTTCTCTACCATAAAATTAAAAACTGATATATGCGGTAGACCTTGAAAAGGGAGAATATGACGAATAAACTTTCCAATCTCGAAAATTGATGATCAGGCTTTGGGTATTTTAGCTAACAAACTCAGCAAGGTAAGGTAAACATGTTGTTATTATTTTCTGCAACAAGTGCAATGCCGCACGATCCTAAATCGTATCGAAAACCCCAATGTTGCTTTTTATTCAAATTTGGGTGCTGTTCTCCAAATCAATCTAACACGCATATTTTATGAAGGAAAACAATATATTATTTACACTCTCTCTTCAAATTAATCTATTAACTTTGTTCTTGAAATAAGAAATGTACATTTAAAGAATATATTTGACATAA